CAATAAAACAAATTTATTGCAACGAACCGGACCGCGACTGTTGTCACTGAAAGTGTCACCACAGCACGGCAAGATAAAAAATCGCAAAACACACTGATGTTACCAGTAGTGGCTACAGGCGAGTCCGTACTTATCCTAAGTGAATGAATTGAACGCCTAGGGAAAGAAATTGATGGACTAATACAATATGTCGAACCACGCAGCAATGTTCACGGTGATATCAGGAAAATGTGCAGCGTAATTAAGCGCACCCACACGGAGCTTATTACGGAGTTAGATTCCGAAAGAAGAAATTCCAGACCAACCGCTGGTCTAAAAACAGTTTAAGCTTCCAGCAACAGTGACTGAAATGATCGAAATACCACCAAAAAAGAGAAAGAGAGTGGACTTAAGTCCTAAAGAATCGGAGCAGATAACCAATACGCCAACTGCTTTGAAAAAAAAGATGACACCGTTTCTCTCCAACTGCCTGCAACGTCTGACAAATGGAAAAAAGTCGAGAAAAGAGAAAAATCGACAAAAGCTAAAAAGAAGTTAAAATCTTGTGACGAAACAAATTTTAATATCAAAATTTCTTCCGCACATGTTACAAGAAGAAGAGAAAAACAATGTTTGACCGTCGCTATAAAACATGACACCTACACACGTCACAATAAAACACTTACATTAATCAAACAGCGTTGGAATTACCTGTAAAATATAAAATTTATCAAAATATATTTTACCACAAAGTATACGGACATTACCTGCGATCCTCCAGCCTGATGAGCCGCGGGCAATGATACGTAGACTGAAAAGAAACCCTGAAGAGAGAAAAAAAAACATAAATACACCGTGAACATGTTATAACAAAAAAAGTAAATTTTATTTACTTATTATAAAATTTGAATAACAACACGATGAATAAACACATTTATTTAACAAATATATTTTTAATAAACAAATATACAACAACTAAGCGTCCACTGATTACGTTTTTTTTTACAAACAAAAAAAACGCATCACAAGCAACACTTCGTCATAGTTTTCCACTGGTTTTTTATTTGGATAATTACTAAAATAACTAGTGTTGTTGACCAATTTTAATAGCAAAACGAAGTTGTTTGTGTGTATGTGATGCTTTAAAATCTTAAAACAAATTTATTCATTTCCAGTACTTAAAATTAATTATTTTTCACTTACTTTTCGTCGTGACAACCGCCTTGCCTCTTCCGGAACTCAAAAACAAAAGCCAAGCATAAATGACAATCAGCTGACACATGAACTGACAGTTCATGTGTGCACTGGGTTGCATTTTCCAATTATAGCTGCACGGTTGCAACGACCAAAGCAAGTTTACAAACATTTTACAAACATTAACCTTTGGGTATGGAGTGGAGTTTTAACATTCTCCCCCCAGTATCTCTTTAATAAGAATACGACTTACTCTAAACTGCAACTCCACGAACATCTAATACGACTAATTTTGCTGCAGGTCTATGATATTTCCCTCGAGTAGTCTACACTATGGCGCTCCTGGTCTGCCCGTCCCGTGCTTTAATAACATTAATTACAATTTCTTTCGGCCATGTGTAGCGAGGAGAATTTGGGTCAACGACATCACCTGCTTCGATGGGTTTTATCTTACCAAACCATTTCGTCAGTCTTGTCATCGTTGGAAGCACCTCTTGTATCCATTTTTTCCAGAACCGATCGGCAAGGTATTGCGAATGCCTCCAGGAGGATTTCACGTGCTCGTCGTTAGTATCGAACTTCCCCGGCGGCTTGTTGCCGGAAGATGACCCCAACAAGAAATGATTCGGAGTTAACGCTTCTTCGCTTGCTGTTTCAATCGACAAATAAGTGAGCGGTCTGCTATTTACGATTGATTCTACCTCGCAGAACAGGTTATGCATCTTTTCATCATTAATTTTTGCTTGCGGACTTATTATTGCTTCTAACACTGTTTTTATGGATCGCACCATCCGCTCCCACGCTCCACCCATGTGTGGCGCAGCTGGTGGAAGAAAAACCCATCGTGTTTCCGGACTTGTAAATTCAGCTTGCAATTCATTGAAGTCCACGTTCTTTATTGATTCTCGTAACTCCTTTTCAGCGGCTGTTAAGTTGGTTCCATTGTCACTATAGATGACATTCGGCACTCCTCTTCGGGCTATGAAATTTCGTATCACTATACAACAGGAGCTGGCTGACAGGCTATAAGCTATCTCCAAAGGCACTGCTCGACACGTAAGGCATGTAAAAACGACGCCATAGCGCTTCTCTGAGCGTCTTCTTACTGTTACAGTATACGAGCCAAAATAATTTATTCCAACATGTGAGAATGGTCGGGAGTATGCTGATAGTATGCTGATCGTGCTTCTGGTAACACACTCATCTCCGGCGGCTTTGGACTCGCATCACGAACCTTGCAATGTTGGCAATTATTTCTTACCTGCTTTAACAGTCTACGCAGTCCCAGAATGTGGTATTTCTGAAAGATTTCGTTAACTACCGTTTCATTATTTAGATGTTTCCATTTTCGATGATACCAGTCTACGATCAACTTAGTTATGTAGTTTTTCCTTGATAGTATAATTGGGAGTTTGGTTGAATCAGCGATGCATGCGGCTTTATCTAATCTAACTTTCATTCTTAAAACATTCTGTGCATCTATGAATGGTGAAAGTTTTCGCAAAGAGCTAATTTTAGAAAGAGTAATATTAGCGTCTCTACTTAATGCGGTCATTTCTTTCTTGTAATCCTGTAACTGGGCTGTCTGGTACAAAAAATTTTCAATCCACTTCAGTTCCTCGACTGACAAGCATTGATTTACAGATTTCTTCTTTTTCATTTCATTAGTTGATAGTAAAAACATAAATCTTTTCACATAGGCCATGCATCGAACTAAACGTTCCCACTCTAAAAATCGGTACACATCTATGAGAGTTTCCTCCTCTGCTATATGAGCCACCAACAATCGTTGCTTTCTGATTTCAGAATCTTCGTTATATTTCTGTACGCCAACATTATTTGGCCAACAAGTTTCTGCTTCATACAGGAACTTCGGTCCCTTATACCAAGGGTTTTTCCAAGTAAAGTCTGGATTACTAGATTGTTTTGTAGCCAAGTCCGCAACATTTAATTTAGTAGGAATGTACCGCCATTGTTCTGCCTCGGACAACTCCTGGATTTCTGCTATGCGGAACATTACAAATTGTTTGTAATCTCGTGGGTCAGATTTTATCCACGATAGAATAGCCTTTGAATCGCTCCAATACGTTATACTGGTCACTTTCAATTCTATTGACCTTTTGATGTTGTTTCCTAGGCGTGCTCCCAATTCCGCCGCGTGTAGTTCCAGTCTTGGAATTGATATTGGTCGTAATGGTGCAACTTTTGCTTTAGAACATATCAAGGAAACATCTATGTTGTTGCGACTCTTCGCTCTTACGTACACCACCGCTGCATATGCAACCTCATCTGAATCTGAATCCTTATTAACCGTAGCGAAGTAACATCTCGGTATCTTCACATTTTTCACACAGCCAAACAGCGACAGCCATTTGTTCCACTCATCGACTAGCTCATTAGGAATAGCGTCATCCTAGCTAACTCCACTTCGCCAAACTTTTTGAAACAAAATTTTTACGTCAATAATGTAAAAGGTAAGCACCCCTAAAGGGTCAAATATTGACATCATCAATCGTAGCAACTCTCTCTGCGTAGGTAATCTATATCCACTTAGAACATCCTCAGTGGCTTTGGTAAACTTCAGATCAAATGTGAGCATATCAGTGTCGGTTTGCCAATGGATTCCCAATACCTTCTCTACCTCAAATGCATGATCTATACGCAAAATTGAAATTCCTGGCCTTGGTTACCTACAGCTTGCAGCACCGCGTTAGAATTTGAAACCCAATTGCGAATATGGAAATTTGCTTTTTTATGAATATTTCTAACCTCATTGACTAGATTAATCGCTTCTTCCACTGTGTCGATGCTATCCAGCATATC